TATCATTTCCCATCGTTAAAATGTCATCAATATATGTAATCACTCAGCAATTTAATTATCATTAAAACATAGACAAGAGTCATGACCTGACCTACAAAATCCATTTTCTTTCATAAAAGTATCTATCCTCTCATTCCAACATAGCGGCGATTCATTAAGACCGTATAATGAACGCTTCAGTCTTAAAACTTTATTTTCTTCTGTTTTCAATCCTTTAGGTACTTTAATATATACTTCTGATTTTACTTTCCCATTGAGGAATGCTGTTGGTATATCTAGCTGACGTATTCTTTTATCTTCTCTTACAGCCTTTGATAAAAACATTTTCACAGTTGATTGTCTTGCTACTGGCGAATAAATTGTATCAAAATAATCTTCTTTATTTTGTTGAAAACCTCTTACAACCAATCTCGCTTTCTTCGTTCCATCATCTTTAATTTTGAAAATTGGAAATATTGAAAATCCATTTCGTATCTACACGAAATGGATTTTCAATATTTCCAATTACCAAAATTCGTACCTTCTGGAAGGATCGGCAGCGTTGTCGTCGTCATATTAATGTCTCTTCTTTTTTACTTTTTCCTTTTCGTGGATCGCAACCCAGTTCAATCTATATTTATTGATCTGAATCCATTTCGTATCTATTGCGTGTTTTCCCTCAGGTAAATTTGTTTCTCCCCATGTTTTTAGTTTTTCTAAAGCATTCAACTCTTTATCTACTACTTTCTTCCAATCTTCACTTTTGACAGCATCTTCATAACTATTTGGGGTATCTAACAGTAAAGCATAGCCTTCTGGAGCTAACGTGCAATATACAACGTTTGTTTCAAAACGATTTCGCCGCGTCGAAATTTTTTTCTAGTAAACTTTTCTTTAGATTTAAACATCTAGCAGTTAAATGCTTAAAAATAAATAAAATCATAACTATAATTGCTATTTCTTCTTTCAAATGTTTAATACTTGAAAAAGTATTCATTTGACATTGTGGGTTACCTGCAATGCGAAGAGATGGCGCTGCCTTGCAGCTTAAGGCTAGGAAAATTTCGACGCGGCGAATAGGGCCGTGGTAGCATAATGGTCAGTGCATTCACCCGGATTGCGAAAGGTGCGGGTTCGAGTCCCGTCCGCTGCCTGGTCCGCGTGGATTTTTTTCTAGTAAACTTTTCTTTAGAGTTTATAATAATTGTTTACCTCAAGAAGTTGCAGTTTTGTTTATTGAAATTTGAAATTAGTGTGCCGCGCGGTCAAGGTCAAGGGACACGTGAATGCGAATTTAGTGTAAAGTTCGTTTGAATTGAATATTTATGTTATGAGTTTAATTTGTAATTTATTTTGTAAATATTTAAATGACTATAATATAAAGTGAATACTAAATGAACAATGAAGACCCCGTCGACGTCGTTTCGTCGCGCCCGTAGACCAGTCACCGCGTCGTCGATATGAACCCCTCAACGCCTGCCGTTATCACGTCAACTACTCGATGGACGGTAGTGGAGGGTTTAGTTTCGTCGACGAAAAATACGTCGACGACGCACCTCTACTACATGGTAGTCTCGCTACATGTCTACTAATGGTTATAATTTAATGTACATTTTGCTGGCTTCATGTATTTACCTATTGCACTAAAAAGCTATAATTAGTATCTTTAGATCTTCTAAACAGTACTGTTTGTCGTCATACGCTGTGAGAAAGACGAATAACAGAAAAATCGAATAGTCATGTTAATTTGACTTAGAATCGATATAGTATTTATAAATAAAAAAGGTGAATTCAACTAAATATTAACAAAAAACACTTAGTCGGCGACGCGACGGCCTATTTGAACGCTTTTTCACGATGTTACAGAAAATCTAGGCATTTTTGCGGAGCTGCTGTTGTATTGAAATCAACTAATGTCATTAGGTCGAGTAGATTTAAAAGTAGTTTGAACATACGGGTGGTTTTCCAATTACAGAGCATAACGCGACTTAGTGGCGCACAATGCCGAATTATGCTGATGCTTAATTGGAACGTGAATTAGTTTTCAAATGCACCAGCAGAGTGCGCTAAGTTCAGTGTTGAAAAAAAAAGTCAATGTTTGTACCTTCATCCATATTTATATTTAATTTTTCAACACAGTTTGAATTAACTTTGATTATTTAAAAAAGTGGGTGCGTATACTTATGTAGGCGCGTGAGAAGTTATCCTTCTTTGGCATCGTTTAAAATTGGTTTTTAATTGCATGCAAATAATTAATTACAATAAATTAATAAAAAGTCTGGAAAAGGACACAGTCAATAAAGTTCAGTTTTAATTTGAAAAAATAAATAAATAATCAAAATATTCAATTAAAATCGCTACTGAATATAATTTATTAGAACATATGTGAATTGCACTTGTATGAAACTCAAACACGTATTCCGAATATACAAACTAGAAACATTTATCCACAATAAATATTATAAATATGAATACCTATAACTGTTACTTTATTACAAAAAATAAAGATGTAGTTTTTGGTTCTACTACACCAATGGTCAAGAGATGGCGCTGTAGTCTCCTGAATCGCGCTTTGGTTCCGTTGTTCCAGATTAATAAATACTTTTGATAGGCCTTCACAATGCAGTCGTTAGCACCCACTCAATAGAGATTCTATTTATATTTTGTTGGTAGATTTTCTTAATGTAAAGCGACCAACTTCATGCTGTTAAAATTTTGTGTTACAGTGATGCGCGCGCATCTTAAAATTTCACTCTCATCATTTTTTCATAACGCGCCTAAAGAAGTATAACTTCAAAAAACTATATTGAAACGAAAGTTTTAATAAATTTTCAACAATAAATAATATAAGTAACCAATAACATATAAATAAAACATATCGATCAATGCCAACTTAAAGAAAAAACACTTGTTAATTTTCTGTCTCTGAGTTGGTACGTTTGCACGCATCACACGAAAGCATTACTTTTGAGATTGCTCGATTGCTGTAGTTGAAACACTCAACGTTAAGCATAATGCGCTATAATGCTGTAATTGGAAAGCTACCACGTTCTAGAACAATGGTGGTTTTCCAATTACAGAGTATAATGTGACTCAGTGGCGCACAATGCCGAATTATGCTGATGCTTAATTGGAACGTGAATTAGTTTTCAAATGCACCAGCAGAGTGCGCTAAGTTCAGTGTTGAAAAAAAAGTCAATGTTTGTACCATCATCCATATTTATATTTAATTTTTTAACACAGTTTGAATTAACTTTGATTATTTAAAAAAACTATAATGAAACGAAAGTTTTAATAATTTTCAACAATTAATAATATTACTAACGATAACATATAAATAAAATATTTCGATCAATGCCAACTTAAAGAATAAACACTTGTTAATTTTCTGTCTCTGAGTTGTTATGATTGCACGTATCACACGAAAGCATTACTTTTGAGAGTGCTCGATTTTGCGAAGCGTTACTGTAGTTGAAACACTCAACGTTAAGCATAATGCGCTATAATGCTGTAATTGGAAAGCTACCAATGTTCTTGTACCTTTTTGACAGAGGAGAAATGCCTGTAATGGCGTCTCCTGTTATAGATAATCATAATTATCGATTCGATACCACACTATCGCCAACCTATCACCCCGCCTTCACGGCCGTAAAAATTAAAAAAATAAAAGAAAAAACTATCAACCCGAAAAAAATCAGGCCCAGTGTTGCCAACTCTACGTCTTTTTACGTAGATCTACGTATTTTAGGCCTTTTCTGGAAACCTACTAACTTAAGTCCCAGAATCTACGTATTTTCTTAATTTTTTTCAAATTTGTAAAATAACTTAATTCACTAGAATAAAGAAGAATATTTTATATTGAATATTTAAGAAGATGTATCTAAACACGCTTGCATCTTGTAGAAAAGGTTCCCGTTATTGGTTTTGTTGACTAAATTAATGCTGGACGCAGGATTTGTGAAAGCAGAAACGACAAAACTCTTTGACTTATTAGGTACATTCATAACCTTAAAAATTGTATTTTTAAACTTTTACTATTATCAATGCGAGACCTACTCACATCGAATTGATCTTTGCAAAAAGAAAAGACTTTCAGTCCATAAAGTTACAGGATTTAGCAAGTTTTAAGCATATGTTCATGTGTAAGTATGTTTTTTCTCTTGGCAATTTAAACCATAACTTTTCTAGAGTCTTTTACCAAGTGTATCATGATAACTACTATATTTTTCATGTGATCTATTAGAAATCATGGTTTTATAATATTAACTTAGAAAGTTTATTTCCTACGTGCTTGCGAGTGTTTGTTTACAAATGTTTTGGCGCCATAGCATAGATAAGTCTATAGACTAAAGAGCGTTTTTGTATGTCTTCAAGGTAAAAAAAAATTTTTTTTTTCGTTCTGATAGAATAATTATTAACAATTTAAAACATAATTCCAAAAAGTGTCAACTAGCCCATTTAACAACAGTTTATCCTTGTCATTCTCTATACAGAATGAAAAGGAGAGACTGATGTTAAATTAAGTTTTAAATTTAGAGAACCATCCAGAATCGGCACCCACCAGTGTCTGTATCTGATGGTAAATGTTTACCACAGCATGGTAAATGCTTCCAATGCAGCGACTTCTCCAAGAACTCTTCGTTCTATCTCCCGTTCTTAAACAAATTGTATAACAAAATACTCGTTTTATTCGGTTTCAAATAACTTCTTCATTTCACTCAGAAAAAAGTACGTAGATCTATAACTTACTTTTACTTACTTTATACTTACTTTTCATATGCAAAATTTACCAATTCTACGTAATTTTCTCATCGGGCCTACGCCTTTTTCAAAATCCGAGTTGGCAACACTGACCCCGCCTCCGCCATCGGCCATTGTGACTGTGAGGATTCCGCCATTTTGAAATTAATCCCCGTACAGAGCAGAACGGTCGGCTCCTGTGTTGAACAATAATTTCAATGAACGCTTTTTACGTGTTTCTTATTCACTCTGTCGCGTGTTGATTATTACTACGTGAGCTTCTTCGTGTTTTAAAGTACTGTGCTTATCGATTACTCGATAGTGTTACTGGCGGTGATAACGTAAGTTATAAACGTGTTGCTGTTGCCAATATCGCCATGTTGAGTAACACGTAACGTGATTTAAAATTAGTATCTCGTTGTTTCCAGTGATGTGCAGTTGGAAGTAGTGGTTGGTATGGTGAGAACACTTGCTGCGCCAACCAAACAGTATGGCGAAGGAGGTAGCAGAAGAATACGCGTCGAGCTTGGCGGACTTGACCGTCAACAGCAAACCCCTCATCAACATGTTGACGATACTTGCAGAAGAGAACATCGACCACGCTGGGGTTATCGTTGAAACGGTGGAGAAGCATTTGGAGAAGGTGAATTTCCATTTTTAAATTACACAGGAGGCAAATGGTGCCACGGTGACGTGACAGGGAAACGGGGAAAGTGTTTATAAAATGATGACGCACGCAAAATTGGCGTTATTTACGTGTTTACTATGATCTTGTGACTAATCAAGCGGCGTTTGTAACCAGTCTCTAACAGGTATCTTCCTTTGTAAGAATTGTTCCTATGAATATCGAGAAATATCTGTCTTGATAAGATAAAATACCACGAGATTATATTTTCGTCAGTAAATGCAAAGATAATAGTATAACCCAATTGATTTTGCTGTTATATGGTTTTATTTTATGTTAGATTCATGGTAATTAATCTATTCTATCCTTGTAAATGATAATTAGTTGTTGTAGTATCTTTAAAAAGTTCAGCTTCAAGGAGATGCCTGTTAAAATCACAAAGAGTTACAATATTTGAATTTCAAGAATGTACCTATATGGTATGTAAACTATAACTGACCATATCAGTTTTGTATAAAAAGTTGTTCAAATAAATGCTTTTAAAACTGAGTTCTTATTTATTTTATGCATGTTCAATTAAAAATGTTAATAAATGAACTATTGTCTTATTCTTCCTGCTCAAAAAACTAAATGTGTTTTTGGGGTCATTGAAGCAAACAAACCAACCTTTTTGGAACGGTTGATCAACAAATGGATGTGGTCATCCGGGGTTTGGGACTAGAAAGTATTTTTCCTCTACACAGGTTCATCCAGACATCAAGCTGCCTGTTCTCTATTTAGTTGATTCCATTATCAAGAATGTTGGTGGAGCATACACACAGAAATTTTCTCAGAGCATTGTGAACATGTTTACACGGACTTTTAAGCAGGTAAGGCAAACACTAATCAAAAATATTTTGTTGCAACAAAGTTTCTATGTTGATTTTGGTCTTTAAAATATTGTTTCCTCCTACAGGTTGATGAGAAGGTGCGATCTCAAATGTTTAAGCTGCGTGAAACATGGCATGATGTTTTCCCAGCTACAAAGTTGTACCAGTTGGATGTGAAAGTGAATTTAATTGATCCTGCATGGCCAATCCAAGCGCAGCCGCAACAGTCAAACATCCATGTAAATCCCAATTTTCTGAAAAAGGTGTTTTTTTTAGTTGATTATGTTCACATCTTTGTTTTAGCTTGGCAAACAGTAATAATTTGATTCATTTTAGATTATCATAGCATGTAATTTGGGATAATATTTTATGATTGAGCCTTTCATGAGCAGTGTAGATTGGCAGTTGCTCATTTTTAAGTATTCCCAGTTGTAACAAATATTTTTCTTTTATTAAATAGTTGAGAAAAATATTATGTCACTAAACACATTCTTCTTTACAGACCGCTCCTACCACCAGCGCGACTCCTGTCCTGACAGAGGAGGAGGAGAAAATGCGAAACATTCTGGCCAAGAAAGAGCAAGAGCTCCTCATGTTGCAGAGAAAGAAGATTGAAATGGAACTCGAGCAAACCAAAAGGCAGCTGGAGTTTGCTGAGAAGAATGCTAAAAAGGTAACTGATTTTGTTAAGAGTATGTCCAATTTTTAAATAACATTTTGTTACAAATTTTCATTTATTTAGATTTAAAAACAATATTGTTTTATTTCTTTTTATAAATTTTAATTAATAAGCATATATTTTAATGATATATATAGAAATAAATCCAAAATATTATCATCATAATGATGCATAAACACATGGAATCATTGTTAAAATGTCTTCACAGCTTCACAGTGGGTTAAAAGAATAATCAAATCAATATATTTTGGACTGCACAGTAATTTTATATATTTTTTGTGATAATTGTAAATCTCTTTCTTTTAAAAAGTTATTCTTCTTATAATTTGATTTGTTATAGGAAATAGCACAATATAACAATGAAGGGATGACTATAAGATGATGTTAATACATTTTATGTTGCAGAAGGGTTTTTGGTAATAAATTAACAATTACATTCTTGTTGCAGATTGTTCCTCCTGTGATGGGTGTTAACGCACCTACTACAATGCCTGTAGCGATGGTGAACCCTGTAGTTGCCCCGGTCGTGTCTACAATACCCGCTATATCGGTTGAAGTCGCGCCACCTGTCAATCTACCCGTCAAGCAAAGACTCGGACCGGTGAGTTGATTTCTATTACAACTATAAGGAATATCGAGAAAATCGTAGTCTCAAATACTAATTTTACTCCTTAAACTGGGACAATGGCAGGATTGACATATAATGAGACGTAGCATAATCAGGAAAAATTTAATAGAAATTCTTTTAACTAAATACTTTGTCCCAATGGAAAAATTGGAAGTGAATATAAAACTGCTCACTCGCTATCACAAGCTCAAATTGCTGCTTACAAGTGCTGGTTATATACAAATGGTTGATCAATCCATTTTACAAGATCAAGGACCTAGTCAAAGCTTGACAAGACTTAAAATGTGCATATTAAGCAGTGTTATGCCAGGTATTCATTAGCCAACATTTGTTAATACACTGTTTATAATGTTCATCATATTTTTGATAAACAAGTTTACAGTAAACAATGTTACTGAAACATTGCCTTCCACACTAGTCAGATGTTGCTAGAATGTTGCCCGAGGAGATAGTGTTGTTCAGTGCATACATTTACAGTGTCATGAAAGTGCTAGAAAAAAAAGGTGGTGGGCTTGAAACAACCTCTTAAGTAGAAACTATGGATTTAAGCTATGGAATTAATTTATGATGATAATTAGCGAAATCGATCTAGTCAAACAGTTTTTATTTCTGCATTACTTCCATGTAAATGAAATGTAATATGAATGATATATTATCGTATAAACAGAAACTCTTTGCAGACTGTGCCATAAATCCTTTTTGACATACAGATGCGATTTGAGTCAACTGTCGATAAAATGCAATGTGCGTGAGTCATCGCTTCACAAATGTATAAAAAATCACGTCATTAAAGCGTTGTAGAAAGAACTAATGGTTATTTTTTTTTTGAACTAATGATTATAATCTATGCTGTAATGCAGTGATTTGTAAACTCCTTAGAGACTCAATCAATAGATTAATATACATAATATATTACTACGTATTTTTATAATTACTACACAATTTGATAATTATTTAATTAGAACATCTAAAATGACTGTTGGCGATGACGATAGCGACACCGACGATGATGACAATTTTGATTAGTTATAAATATTTTCTAAAAATATTGCTTTATGTAAGTGTTAATAAAAATAATTATTTATCACAATCCTACTAATATTATAAATGTGAAAGTTTGTATGTTTGTTACTCAAATACGGAAAAAAGGCTAAACGCATTTGGATGAAATTTGGCAGTCTCCATATATCTGCAAAAATTTTTGGGTTCCTTATGGAAATTCGAAAAAGTTGCAACGAAGTCGCGGGCGGCCGTTAGTTACAATATAACACATTGTAATCAAACATGTGCAAGCCCATCTCATTACGGAAGTACCGGGACTAAGTTAAGAGTCCCGAATATTGTTTAAGTCTTTGTAGAATCCCGGGATTTTTGGGACCGCGATTTCCCGAGACTTTTCCCTAGTCTCATTCAATCACTTACTTATAGATATAACGAGATTTAAAAAAAAACCCTATGACTATTGCATGATATTTTTTTAATATTAGCTATGTGAATAAACCTTGTCCTGACAATAATAACACAAAAAACCGTCCAAGTGCGATTCGGACTCGCACACGAAAGGTTCCGTACCATTAATAATATAAATATTAATATTTACAACACTCACACCAATTAGCCTAGCCCCAAAGTTAGCACTGTAGGCTTGTGTTATGGGATACTAGGGTAACGGATAGAATACATATACTGGTACATATATAAGTATATTTATATAGAAATAAATATATAACATCCATGACTGGAGTACAAATGCTCGTATTCATCACACAAACATCTGCCCCCAACGGGATTCGAACCCCGGGACCTCTCGAGTAGGCGACACTTTGAAACCCGGCGTGCAAACCACTCGGCCACGGAGGTCGTCACTACTTTGCTATTATCTATACAACATCTAATATCGAGCATAAAACAGCAAAAAACACGTTTATTGTATGGGAGCCCCCTTTAAATAGGTATTTATTTTAGTATTTGTTGTCATAGCGGCAACAGAAATACATTATTTGTGAAAATTACAACTGTCTAGCTATCACGGTTTATGAGATACAGCCTGGTAACAGACAAACGGACGGATGGACGTATACGATTTTACCCTTTAGGTACCGATAAAAAAATACTCAAAAAAAAAATCATCGAAATTGATGCAGTTGTTCGGAAATATGCGCGTACATAAATCTCAGCAATTAATTTTTATTTATATAGATTTTTTTACACTTTGTTGTATATGTAGTAGACTTGCAACGAATAGTATATTCGGCAGAATACCTAATATTCAGCGAGGCCCCTGACCGAATAGCCGAATATTAGGCAAAACTATTCGGCTGGATGTGAGTGCCGAAAACATGTACAGACGTAATTGTTTCGCGCTCCTTTGTTTTGTTCTAATCTGCCGTCCTCAAGCTAAAATGCGGCTAAATGACAAAATCAACATTTGAGATAAGGCCAAAAACGGCGCGAAAACTTTAAATTATTGCTATTATGTATTCATCACATGACTGAATGAATTAAAAACTGTTTACTTGTTTAATACAGAAAATGATTAAATTATGTATGTTCTAATTATATATGTAATTAGTACGTTATAAGCAGAGCTGTTACGGTGCAATCATAAGGAAATTTTATTTTTGATTTGGTGCTATAATTGTTGTTAAATCATTAAATCAATTTTAGGGGGGAAAAAGGATAGGTAACATCTTACCTTAAGAATACTTAATATATAAACATTTACGTCAAAACTTGAAATCAGGTGTGTAGCGGTACCTAAGGTACCTACCTAATCAAGGTACAATGACACAGATATCATGACAAAGCTATTTACTTAAAAGTGACAATCCATTTTTTTGTTATATATTTATGTATTTTATTCATACTAAAATAATTTGATTAGTTCAGTTGAAATTGATTATTCTCTAAATCAGTAATTCTGAGTAAAATAAATAACACTAGTCGGCATTAAAATAAGAGGAAAAAATTGTATATGTGGAAGAAACACATACGGAAACGTTAAATCCAAATATGTAATTAAAATTAACCGTTTAACTTCGATGCAAAATCATTTTTTGTCTGAACTCGAATTGGTCTCTTATAGGCGCAGGCAATAAATCTAGAAACAGCAGTTAAAATGTACAAAAGAAAACGATCTACCAACATATTTGTGTTGTATAATAAAATACAATTAATATACAGGGTGTAAAAATCCTTTAACGAAGTCGAAAGCCGCGTGTTTTCCACATCATGACGATCATTTTTAGGGTTCCGTACCTCAAAAGGAAAAAACAACCCTTATAGGATCACTTTGTTGTCCTTCCATCCGTTTTACTCAGGAACGCGTCGAGGTATCAAACTGAAATTCATATCTAATACTCATGTGTACTGTCCCTTGGAGCAGTGAAAAAATCTAATTTCTAAACCAAAACAATCAAAAGATACAGCCGTTTATGCCGCAAATTTTCGAAACTCGCACGGGAATCAAAACCTACAGGGTACTTTCCGTGAACTTAGAATCTTGAATTTGGGTGCGAAGTAACGTCTTATAGTACAGATCAACGAAAAATTGCGAAAACTGTAAATTTTTACTTACGTCATATAATAAAAAATATTTTTGAAAATTTTAAACTTAAAATAAATACCTTTTTTCTCATGAACGCGTAGAGGTATTAAATTTAGTTTGTACGGAACTTTCGGTGCGCGAGTCCGACTCGCACTTGGCCGGTTTTTTTTTTCTTCTGGACCATACCTGAGAAATTTATGGTTATGGAGATATTGAAGGTCGAAGTCATTTTTTGTTTTAAAGATTTTTACATTAATGTTTTCAAAACGTTATTTAGAAACTACACACTCCTGTATATAAATAACGGTAGTTTATTTAAATGTAAATATCTTAAATACTAGACGTGACGTAACTTATAAAATGAAAGTCAATAGAAATCACATAGTAAGCTTATAGCTCCCGGACTTTTTTTTGCCGACCTTTGACGACCGATTTTTGTAATTAAAACAATGTTGTACTCAGAGGCGGCGTAAGGCGTGGGCGACGTGGGCCACCGCCTACGGCCTCGCGGTACAAGGGGCTTCGCGAATCAAAATTTTTTATGCGTTGCTTAAAAAATCTTTTTTTTTTAATTTATTTTATAAAATCCGTCTTCAGGTCGTCACAGAACAGGGCCTCGTGAAATCTGTCTTGCCCACATCAAATTTAGGTCTTGCTCCGCCACTGGTTATACTTTGTGACCCTGTGTAAATAGGAGATACACTTATTACTCATAAATCTAATACTACACTAGGTATTATTTTTCAATCTTTGTGTTTGTTTTTATTGAACGGGCTCCAAAACTACTGGACCTATTTAAAAAATGCTTTCACATTTAGAATCCTTCATTATCCCTGATGAACATAGGGTATAGAGTATTTTCAGAAAAGTTAGGGTTCCGTATGAATACTTGGATAATGTAAATCTACGTGTAAAAAATACCTTAGCGTACGCTGCGGAAGTCATTGACAATAGAGCAAAGTGATGTACTAAAGTTTTATAGAGGACATAAATATCTGCAAAAAAGTCCGTAATACCATATCTCTTATCTATTAAACAAGTCCGTCTGTCTGTGGTGCTGTTTCAGCGGCCAAACCGTAAGAGATAGATAAAGAGAATATTTAAGTTATAAGTTAAGAATAGTCTGATAAGACTACAAACCGGATTTGAGTAACGTAGCACTTCCGGTTTTCGAGAAATCAGGTTTTGGTGAACATTTGGTTCACTGGTTTGCTAGTGTCCAACTATTACAGTAATGCTACAACTGGAGGTTCCATGCGGTTTCCCCCGCGTTAATTTGAGGAAAAATTTATAGTGAGTCAAACTTAAAAAATTAAAATATGTCGCGGACTTTTTTATAGAACTTTTAAAGGGAAACAATTCCGCCATACGTGATTTTAGTGTAACTTTACGTAACCAGCGCACGCAACGGAAGCTCACAAATGAAACATTTCTACCTGTGTTTTAGGGTTCCGTAGCCAAATGGCAAAAAACGGAACTCTTATAAATTCGTCATGTCCGTCCGTATGTCGAAGATACTTTTTTCCGAAACTATATGAACTACACTGTTGAAACTTGCTAAGTAGATGTATTCTGTGAACCGCATTAAGATTTTCACACTTAAATAGAAAAAAAAACAAGGAATTTTGGGGATCCCCAAACTTCGAACAGAAACACAAAAAAAATATCAAACCCATAAGTGTGGGGTATCTATGGATAGGTCTTCAAAAATGATATTGAGGTTTCTATTATCACGAGAGAGACAGTTCCAAAGTGGTAAATTGTGTACCCTGTAACTTCTAAAACAAGAGACTATTAAAACTAAAAAAAATATATGATGTACATTGCAAACTTCGAACGAAAATTGATGTGGTATCGAGATAGAATATAGAAAATATATATCTAGTGAGTAGTTTTATTAATACGCTATAAATCACAAATCAACGAAAAAAAATACAATAATATTAAAACATAGATCAAAGTTACAGGGAACTATAAGAACTTTTATATTATGTTACTTGCTGCTACGGAACCCTTCATGGGCGAGTCCGACTCGCACTTGGCTGCTTTTTATATTTTTTTATCGATGCTCTTCTCCTGCTGGTCGTAGCGTGATATTATAAAGTATAGTCTACACCGAAGCGAAGCGAGGGCGAGCCATTTCTTTATTAATATGCAATGACCTGTTTCTGTTTGAATCAGAATAACCAAGTCGGCACTAAACGATACTTAAATATTTTTAGAACGCATAATTAATTCGAGATACAAGCTATCTTTATACCTATTTCTAAACCACTGGGGCACAAAGTCCCAAATCTTTATTATATACCAACTTTTCTAAGAAGGGCAGCCGTCCAATTGAATTAATATTCATTTCAAAATTATTTTTTAAACATTGTGACACTCGTATTGTAAGGTGGGCATTGCACACCCTTGTCCCCAAAGTGGTAATAAAATCGACATGGCGATCTGAATATGTGGTTTTGCTGGGCCAACATATACCTAGCTATGACATGATGTTTAATTTTATTCGTACAAAAAGGATGGTCAGCTAATGTGACATATGGGTATTTTAGTTTGTATATATAGTGACATTATATTTGGCTGTTAGTTTAAGTTTTATGGTTTTCCATCTTATCCGGCTTAGGCTTGTTCAGAATAGCAGAATGAATGATGTTAAAAAACCCAATCGATGCTTAATGTGAATCAGAAATCAATATATCTTTATTCAAATTGGATGTATAGTACAACTTTTTTGAATCGTCCAAAAAAAATTTTTCCCCTACCACTCATTATTTGACATATTTTTTAGCTGCGGAGAAAAACGAGCGAAACAAACTCCACAACATTAAAAGTTTAATGTAACAATATTTACAAATCATTATGTTGTTACAGCGTCAGTACAGTCATGATTTATTAAATATAGAAAACCTGTTGGAATGATTGGAACAGTTCAAACCCAAGCATTTTTGTCTGTAATATAATCAGACGAGATATTATATAAGGTCTCCCGCCGTAGATTTACGAACCGATGGCGTAGTTTCTAGACATTCATATGTGCTTGTAACAGCCTAAACTGAATAAATGATTTTGATTATTGATTATTATTGAGACACTTTGTAATAAGCTTTGTTAATAAGTGCTTTTTTATACTATCTTTGAATTAAATTTAAATATTATAGAGGTTGTACAATATAGTAGGACAGCTGATTAAATGCGATATGGTGTATCAATAATATATCTTTTACTAAACAAATGCATTTCTCAACTACTTGATAATGGAATTTATTGATAAGTACTAATTGGTTTACGTGTCAAATCGTTATTACTAAATAGGGAGGTAAAATTATTAAATCTTGATTGAACTGATTCAATAACGAAGCTTTAGTCAAAATGGGACAAACATACATCGATTTTTTAAAATTACAGTTTACTCCATAATTTTCATTAATTCATGTCATTGCACCAGCTGTTCCATTGTTTTTTAACTCTATATATTTTTATGCATTTACACATTTGGTGCTCTGCCAAAATTACGCAAAAGACATATAGCGTGAACGTGTGTAGTATTTTTGGGAAGCTTAGTAACATAATGTTGCTCTATAAAAAATATATGTATGGCAAACATAGGATGAAGGATATTTGATAGATTTGATTATTTGCATTAAAGGGCTGCTTTTCATTACAGCATAATTAGTATCGATTGTATCCTTGTCATACGGAGGGACTACATGGTAGGTTTCGTTCTACATTGGTTGCATCGCGTTATTACATTATTTTTTAATGTGGTTAACCATGCACATTATCTTGTAGGACGATTCGAGTATATTTAGCTAATCGCATAAAAAAAACTGTAGTTTTCTCTTTCAGATTTATGTCACTTGCACACTATGAACGTTGCGTTTCTTTTCAGCCGGTGAATAAAGTGGGCGGTCGCATCGCACCGGTCAGCGCCGCCCTAGCGTCCGCCAGACGCGACCCGCGACTCGCTCGCGGCGGGGCGCCACCCACCGCGCCGGTACTGTCGCAACCCATCGCCTCCAATGTGTTTGACATCAAACCTCTCGAGCGCGTGATCAAACGCAAGAACGTGATCACCATCGACGTTCGACCCGACGGTCCGCCGCCGCGTGATCCGCGTCGCCGCGACCCAAGACTCAACAAACGCGACGATCGACCACGACGTCAACCGCGACCGCGACCCGAAGAACAACCAGAACTGCCCATACCACCACCGGACCGCCTCCCCGAAATCAAAGACATCACCAAACTCCCGCCCATACCCAAAATAAGGCGGGAGCGAGAGCCCGACGAGGAACAACCTGTCGTCCCCAAAAAGAAAAAAGACGTTCGCGACGACAGAAAGAAAAAGAGAGAGAAAGACAGCGGCTCCGCCAACTCCTCCCCCGAAAAGAAGAACCGCTCTCAGAAAGACAGGGAGGTCAAAGAAAAAGAGAAAGAAGCTCCGAAAGAGATAAAGGAGAAGGAGAAAGAGGCTCCCAAGGAGCAGAGGGACAAGCGTCGGCGTGAACGGCGGCTGGAACCGGAACCGGAGGCGCCGGCGCCGGAGCCCGAGGAGGTGCCTTTCAAGGAGCTCAAAAACTATCGCAAGGATCGCTACATGCGCCGCAACCGGGAGAAGTCGGATAGCCCCGAGCGGCCGGCGCCGAGCGACGACAAACCGGACGACAAACCGGCGGCCGACGCGCCAAGTAAGATATCATTCTATGTTAACAGAATCCGTGGGTAGTGTACACTGAAATTGTGTGGGTAGATCGCGTCTGTGATATTAGATTTAAGAGGGAATACTGAAGACTGACTCATGTGTGATAATAAAATATTTTACAACTCTTGGAGTATTATATTGCACTGACGAATTCATTGCGATACCCTTTAGCGTTAAGATTGAAGTTTTCAATTTCATAAAAACTTTTTTTTGAGGGAATTGGCTTTAGCACAGAGTTCACAAGTTTCGTTTTGATACACTCAACATAGCACAGGTTTTTTGAATGGTTTTCTTACAATCTTGACACTTGCTTAAATTGATTTCGTACGTCTTGCAACTTCTCATAAATGACATAAATTTTGAAATAATACTAGTGATATTTTGATAAGTTTTGATAAACTAAAAATTCGTGGAACGTGAGGACTGAGTGATCAACCAACCATTAATTTCTGCTGGGATGGCGCTTTTACAAGAAGTAACTGCATGGATTAAAGGTTTTTCTATATTCGACGTGTGAAGGGGACCTTAAAATGAAACACTAGATAGTTTGTAAGTGAAATACCACATTAAATTTAGTGCAAAGCGCTTGCGTATAACTCACATTGGAGCAGAGTAGATTCGAAATATTACATTTAATGGTCTATTATATAATTAAAATTATATTTTTTTTTAGGCGGTAGTTATATATTTAACTGGGTCAAAATGCGAGTATTTTTCGCTCCAAGAAATTTTAATCATCCTATAGAAGAGAATCTGAATCTATAAAATCTTGCTTTGGCCACCATCACCAATTTCTACATCTGATTTTGTACACTATGTCATAAAATATATTTGACTTTATCGATGTTTCGTTAAAAATGCAAAGAGGTCTGGTGGACAGTCAAATTTGTTAGTTTTGTGAAGCCGGAGAACCAAGCACGAACTTTGGCAGCTCCGTAATCGTATCGCCATCGTCAAATTTTGTATGGAAGGCGACAGTTTATTCTTACATCCGGTAGGGGCGCTTCTTAGTTTTCAAAGGAACTAACGATGCAATACGATTACGGAGCTGTCAAATTTCGTTCTGGGGCCTCTGCACTGAACTGACCAAATGTGGACTGATTAATTTCTTACATTTTGAAATATATTCAGTGTATAAGTAATTTCTGATGAGTTTGATGATGTAGGTGTTCAAGATTTTTTCGCAGTTCGATAGCTGGTGTGGTAGTTTAATGGCCTTTACAGACGCGGGACGTTTGTCCTCCATAATAGATCGTTTCCAACTGCATCGAGCAACGCACACGAGGGTCTAAAAGTACCCTGTACATAAAGTCCCCCAAACAGCAGAGGACGACGGGAGACCGGACTAGAAAAAAGTACGCGGAAAAAAAAAATAGAACTCATGTGATTAAACATAGCAAAGCACAGAGCGAACTTTAATCCGCGCTGCGACCTCGATACGATTCAATAGATGGACTGAGTAATATCTTTTAAAACTCTTATTCTATTCTTAAAATTCATGTTAGTTCAACAAAACGTAATTTGAGAAGATTTGCTCCATAGCGTGCACTTTTCTTAAATTTCCGGGCATCACATGTTCGCATACCGTGTGCGTTTAGTCCGTGACAGTCCGCGGCGGACATTTTTTTCACTATTGAAGGATATCTGTCTTAATAAGTCCCTCGTCTGCGCAGGCCCATTAAACTGGTGTAACTGGGGGGCGATGTCATTAGCTCGGACCTAACTAAAAAAAACTTGCTTACTTAACTGTGCCAAATTTATCTTCAGGCTTATTGTTCTAAGCTTTAAACACTGTCTGCGACATTGAAGCCAATTGAAGTTAAATTGTATCAAATTGCGTGGTGGTGAAAGTGGAGACAACAGCAGGGGACCAACAATGTCAATATCACTGCAATCAATTCCGTACTTTGAGCTGTGCCGCCAAAACTTGATTTGTATAGGATGAAGAGTTGCGGCGTGGGAAACTTAAAACATTAATACTCTCTTACTGCGTGTATTTTACCGACAACGGTTAGATTTTTGGAACTATATACATAGAAGCGAGTAAGTACCGAAGAACTCTTAAGCCAGTGTCGTTACTCCGGCCAATGACAGTCCCCTTTCTTGTGTGACTCGGTTTTTCAAGTCGTGTATTTAAGAGATTGTGTGATAAAGCATGCGCTTCACTAATTGGATTCCCTAAAGAGTATCAAAGTTTTCTTATCGATTCAACTCTGCACCATGTGGATTTTTTAAACACTTGTATATTTTTCAATTAAGACAGAATTCTTTGTAGCATTTCTTTGATGATAAGCAAATTGCATTTCGAAGTAAAATACATCTAAGGCTCAACTCACACTGGCGCAGCGTCGAAGCGTCGCGTCGAGTCATGTTTTTTTTTCAACTACAACGCGTGGCGACTCGCGTTAGTACACCCGGATCACCATGATGGACTAGTTGAAAACTGTTAAACATTCCTAAAGGGCGCTGGTTTTCGACACTGTACAATGGTTGATATTTGCAGCAGAAGAGGGCGAAAGTAAAATTATATCAGAAGCTGAAGCCAGAAAAATAAACGAAAATTCGATGGTCGGCGTCGGAAGCGTCACTGCGCGCGAGTACCGCTCGTCTTTAAACAAGCGTTGACTCGTGATGGCCATATTTGCTTATGACAAATTTGGACTACCTTAGTAGTGGGAAATTAGAAGTTGCTAGTTGCTACAGGCAAAAAACATGACGTGTCGCGTCGCTTTGACTCTGCGTCAGTGTGAGTTGAGCCTAAAGTAGAAGAGTACCTACACATTAGATTCATCAGATATCATTTCCAATATATTTTATTCACAGAAAAAATAATACGCATTTTATAGGCTACCTAAATAGGGTACAAATATTTTGTTAACCGATTATGACTATATTTTACAACGATTTTTACACAATTCATTATTTTCATAGAAGGCGAATGATGTTCATCACCACAAATTCAGAAAAGAGTGTTTGCCATAAAAAAATCGTTACATATTTTTTATAAATTTTATTCCATATTTTTTATAAGCTTAGTTTATTGGCCCTTTTGCAAATTCATCGCGAATATTTTCTATAACACAAAGCTAGTTTTCATTTACGTTGCGCAGTTCGAGCCACCCCTTATCATCTTCCTACTCCTCACAAAGTAGAGCGGATCTATTTCATAAACAATATACATATTATTTTCATGCTATTTTAACTACTCTTTTTCATACAAAATGATCTATGTTACGCATGGGTTAGGTTAGGTTAGGTTAGATTTCTTGAGGTAACAGGCATTAGTAGTAGTAATAGTAAAATTATAGTTTTATCCTGTATGGCATGTAGGTGAGTTAGTAGGTAGGTAGATAGAAATTACTAGCAGGACAAGCATAATGTTTCGCAGAAATCGATAGAAAATAAGTTATAATTTTTATTTTTAAGCATGTAACTGCTCGATGTTTAAATCTAAAGAAATTATTATATTACTAGAAAAAATAAATAAAAAGAAAATTAGTTATTTTTGATAATTCGATTACGATATATTTCTTACATGTGTGAAACTAACCAATTGAAGCTTGAATCCTTCACTAAAATCAATTGATCTGGCATTATTTTCTTGTTGCCTTATGTACATACAGCTACAGGTCGAGTGACCAAAAAATGACAAACTTTCCCAACGGATTTTGAGCATTATCGTCCTTGATATGTGATTCATAATCTATTGAGAATATTTGACATTATGTGCTAAATTAATGTGTGACTTACTGTATCAATGCAGTTTAAATTTAACGATTCTAGATTTGAAAATATTAGTTTTTATTCGCTTATACGTCATTTTGTACATCACCATTATCATCCGGGTCTCATTCTCGTAATCAGCTTAGAACACTGTTGGCATCAATCAATTAATTAATTTTAATCAGAACCATGATTAAAAAAGTTGTTTTAATCATGATTGTTTTCGTTGATCATTAATCACTTAATCATTAATTTGATTAATATGACTAAACTCATAAACTTTTGAATGAAGCTTTTTATTGCGTGGTCCGATTTGCATCAAACTTGTAAAATTGTTGTTTATAACGTACTTAAGTAAGTATGTACCATCTGTTTTTCAAAACTCTTCTAAATAGGGACTGAAATATTCCGCTCAGCAACATTTATACTCAAAACGGTATTTTACAACGCGGTATCGTTTTATCAGGCTAATAGTTATCAGAAGTACGGTAGATTTGGATGGGTGATCGCCAAAAGGACCATAATCAAAATGCAGCCAAGTTGTGAGCAAGAATGGGATGGGTTACTAACTTCAAGCACGCTAACCAAAGTATTGCCCAAGTAATGAGTGTTCAAGAATCGGATGGAACCACCTTCAAAGACGCTAATCAAAACGCAGCATATGCAGTGATTAGCTCAGAATTTGATGGATGACCCTCGTCAGGGATGCTTTTCCAAAGTAGGCTACGTAATGAGTGGTCAAAAATCGGATGGGACCATCTTCAAGGACGATAATTAAAGTGCAGCGGATGTTAGGAGTGGTCAAGAATCTGACTGGTGACCATCGTCAAGGATGCTAACCAAAGTGTAGCCCACGAAATGATTGGTCAAGAATCGGATGGGTAAATACCTTCAAGGACAATAGCCGTAGTGCAGCATATGTTGTGAATGGTCAGAAGTAGGATTGGTGATCGCCCTCAAAGACTATAACAAATCAGAATTGTAACAGTAGGTGCTCTATTAAAAACAGATTTTGGATCTTCAGTGCAATCAATTTGATTGGATAGTTAATCAAATTTACCATACTTAATCAAATATAACCAATAAAATATTTAAATTTGATAATGATTAATTAATCTTAATCAAACATCTTGATTATGATTTTTAATCATTAATCATCTTAACTTTGGGTCAACACTGGCTAAGAAAAAGGGTTCTGTGCAAGTGCAACATACATACACAACGTTTTGGTAGGGTTTTTATTTAGTATATTATTATTATTCTTTTATTATTTATGACAGCAATTTTTCAACTGTACACATTAAAAAAAACCCAAGAGAACTAAAGCAGTGAATTGTTTAAGGTCAAAATCCTTTATGGATTTAAGGCAATAGTACCACACCACTTATATTGGTAAATATGATTGTATATGGGAAATTTAAAACAACCATTCCATTTTGGCAGTTTGGACAATGAAGAAATGCTGTATTTTATTTCTAAGGAAGTGTTTCAGGGACAGTATATTTACTATGGAATAATAACCAATAATCAATCTGCGTCTATTGAGAAGTTGCAAGTCGTTGAATAAGATGTGTACTTCCATCTTATTTATAAGTGTCACACATGTTTTCCTTACAAAGTTAGTTTTCATTTCATTCTGTAAAACTATAGTGTATAGTGTTTCATAATGTTAACATAAATAAGTATAGTTGAGTTCTAATAATAATAGGGAATATGCATGATTATTTTTTATATTTTTATTTCATAGTTTCCATTCCCTTAAATATCAACATCGAAAAAATTGTGTAGTGTTTCTAAAAATAATATTGAAATAGCATTTTATATGCGCGCTATTTTGGAACTTTTGATATATCGTCAAAGCAACCTAGCAACAAAACAAACAAGCCCACAGTATTTTATTTATTGGTGAAGACCTGTTTATTGGCTTTCTGTTATTATTTAAGTTTTTATTCTTTTTATTAATAGCTGTTGGTCTTCCAAAACATAAATAAATAAACAGTCTGACTGTTTATTTATTTATGTTTAGGGGGTAAGGTGCGCGCGCACCACGTATTCGCACTAGGTTTCGTTGATTTTGACATATACTGTGAACATTGCGTATCTATATAGCTATTAACGGGATTGTTTCCATGTACCTTGTTTTTAATGAGTCTCCGATATTTCGGCACTGTTGCAAGCGGAGTAACTCCGTCATGATCACGTGATCATGGCGCTTGCAACAGTGCCGAAATATCGGAGACTCATAAAAAACAAGGTACATGGTATGAATCCCGGTTATAGCTATAATGTTAGTGACCATGAAAGTTTAAAACAATATATTGTGTATCTTTGTTGATTAGTTGCTACGTCATAACCGCTCTGTCGCGTTTCAGATATTTGTATTTCCCAAAATTTACTTTTCAATAATAATAAATTAATTTGTTGCTAAAAATAAGTTTTATATTGACGGAAGGACAATTCAAAAGTAATAGAGTTTATATAAAAAAATATTGAGCCCTTTTTGAATTACATGCATATTCCCTATTGATAATAATATAATGATATCACATTACAATTGAATTTAAACCAATCTTGAAATAAGAATTAAAAAAAAAATACACAATGCGTTTACTTATAAAGTGTGATCTATTGGTGTGATACACGAAACCATATCTGGGTAAGGTAACAGTACCGATCAATCGCTGTATTGCAATGTTGACCTAAGATTAAATAAATATAGAGTACGTTTTTCAGATGTGGGTGATGTTGTGATGGAGAATAAGGATGTTGACCTGAGGGTCTTGCATCCGGTTGTAGCAGAGACGAAGGCGGCCCCAGTCGCGCAAAAGAGGTCTTCAACCGAATTACTTGAAGGCAAACCTAAAAAGACTAAAATAGATAAGTTTGACGTGTAAGTATCTATCATTCACACATTTTATTAATAAATTGAAATAGCTTTATCATTACTCTTTTAAATATTTATTTACTTTACGCAGATTGTTTGGTAATGAAGATGTTGATCTCCGCCAACTACCTCAAGTAGAAGAGCTAGCAGCGCCACCTCCGCCATCATTATTGGAATCTCCAAAAAGAGATGCGGTGCCCAAAGAGGAAGAGTATGAACCCTCACCGCGTAAATCACCCAAGAAGGATTGGAACGATGTTAAGGAAAAGACTGAAGATACCAAAAAGACCCCCTCTAAATTAGATTTGGTTAGAGCAAAATTAGCTGAAGCAACTAAAGGAAAAGATCGCCTCGGGCGACCACTATTGTTTAGTAAATCTCCAAGTACGTTTATTTGAGCACTCTCTAAATATATTTTATATAACGGGCTATTTTTTACAAATGTCTTACATAATCATATTTTTCAGGTATTGAAAGAGAACGAAGACGTACGTTAAGTACTGAAGATACAGATTTAAGAGTAGAGAATGGAGACGAGTTCGATGCTGCAGATCACAAAAAATCCATATCAATAATTATGAGTCAGGCTAAAGAGCAATTTACGGATGGCCAGCTAGACAAAAATCAATATAACACGCTAATGTACCAAGTGTTACAACTCAACGAGAAATTAAAACTTAAAGAAGCAAAGCAGAGGGAATCATTGGAAGTGTCAAAACGGAAACTAAAAGCTCACACACAAGAAGAGAATCACAAAGTGGCAAGTCCGAAGTCATCTCCTAATACATTTGGTGATATTGATGAAAGAATTACACCGGCAGCTTTTCTGGACACCCCACCGGACAGTCAAAACTATATGGGGACAGATTCTGATATGCGAATAAATTCAATGCCTCCGTTAGATGCGATTGACGCTCCTAACCATGGAATCTTACCTATGCCACCAGCTATGCCGCCGATGTTTGGCCCATTCCCACCGGCTTGGCGAGGGCCACGACCAAGAACAGAGGAGTATGTGCCTAGAAGGTTCCGAGCGCCAGTTCCTCCATTTTTCAGAGGAAAGTTCGATAAGCGAGTAGGCGTTTGGCCACCGTTTGAGCCCCGCCCAGCTTTACCTCCTCTGCCGACACCTAAAATAGGAACGTGTCAAGGAATATGTCCTCTGCAACCTTACGAAAGAACTGCATCTCCACCGCCACTCGGTTTAACCAGCGTAGTCATACCGCCCACCGACTTCAAAGTCCTGGAATACATTGACCAAGATCCTTTCAAAACCATACAGATCGATGGCATTCCCCGAGATATTAGGTATTATGGGGACACTGCGGTTATCATGATGGATTGGGATGATCCGCGTGAAATTAAGTTTTTACCTGGAAGCAGAAGAGTAACATTCGACAACAAGGACTCGATAGTTTTATCTTTCAATGAATGCTACAAAAAAGTGGAGATTGACGACCAAGTGTTTGATATTAAATTCGGTGCTCCCACAAGAGAGTTGTACATAAACGGGAGATGGTTCGAGTGTTTCTTTGGCGGCCAACCATTAGGAGTTATAATTGATGGGAAACCTAGACTGGTACATTTAGAAGGGCCGTTGCCGCAAGTGGACATTGGTAAAACGAAGCGGACGGATCTGGTTGCTGGAAAAATCAATCTTATAGTGAATGCTGTTCATATATGCCCTGTGTATTTGGACGCCAAAGTGCAGAAATTCCAAATCGAAAACCAGTTCTTTACTATTCGTTTTGTGGATTCGTTCCGGACTGTATTGATTAACGAGCAGCCGTTTAAGGTGGAGTTTGGCGATTTACCGCGACCCATACAAGTAGGGGACATGAAGTATTTCATTAGATTCTCTGCTTTGCCAAGGCACGTAAAGCCTGGGTTGACAAAGGTTGTGAACATGGAAGGTTCGATGCTGATGTTGCCGTTGGAGCCGATTGTCAGTTTCGAGAACATCCATGACCAAAACTCTATGGAGATGGGTGTAGAAGTTCCTCCAAGACCACCGAAAACACCTAGCCCAGAAGCTACCCCAGAAAAAGGTACCTAATTTTTCTTCGTATTTTTTTTTTGCGTTAGGCAGGCAGTCCACTGCAGCAGAGCGAGGCTGCGGAGCGGATAAACGGATATATATTAACCAATAGGATTGCATAAAATCTGTCCACTGAGAAGAATCGAAGATTATGTGCAATCCTATTGGTTGATGTCTCCGTTTCTCCGCTTCGCAGCCATGCTTGTTTCATAGACTAAAGCCGAATACAAAATTATTTTAATTTGGCCAATCTTTTTTTAGGATTAGATATGTTAGCAAGCTTAATGCCCTCAAGTATGGCGCCGGCTTCCGCATCCGAGTACAGCTCTGCGGAACCCCTATTTACCAAGCCAGACAAGATTCCCGGTTTGGAGACCGCCGAAGAGAAACCTGCTAATCCCGTCCTGCCAGTTCTTGGCAATATCAATGTGACCGACTTGTTCGCTAAGCTGGTAGCGTCTGGTATCGTCCAAGTGCCAAAAGAGCCCAAAACTGAAGAGAAACCAGAGCCAAAGACAGAGGAAGTTAAACCTAAGCCCAAAGAAGATAAGACCGTTATACATAGTGTCGACCTTTTAAAACCGGAGACACTGAGGGTGTAAGTATTATTAATAACCAGCTTTCGCTGGCGTATTCGTTCGCTTTATAGTTAGTTTTTACGAATCCAAGGAACCTAACATTTTTGGATAAAAAGTATGACATGTCTCAAATCTGCTAATAAATGATCGTTTTCTGGACTGACGGGCGCCAGCACTGAAAGGAAATCATAACTCATCCTTCAAATCGCATACGTCTTCATGGTCTATAGATCAATTTAAATGCTCTTTCGATTAGTTCGCGTAAAAACTTCGTTCAAAATGACTCCCACTCGTTTCAGTGGCGTCAACTGGTAACGTAAATTTTCATAGCCACCCTCATTATATTTGTGCCAATTATATCCAAATCCGTACAGATATGTTTTTGCTTGATTGAGTAACATCCCAAAATATTAATAAGACATAGTTTTTTTTATTGTATTTTCATTAATCGGCCAGGAATATTCTGCAAGTAACAGTGTTTCTTAGTTACGAAGACACGTCTTATACCGCCACTTCACTTGGCTATTCGTATTTGCTATTTGTAAACTTGACAATAGTCTGTCCATATCATGCTTTATAAGGAACTAGCGGCCGCCCGCGACTTCGTACGCGTGTAGTTAGAAATAAAGGTAGTGAACCTTTATTTCTCGTTCCCCGTAGGTGATAGCGTGATAATATGTAGCGTATATGTTGACCCGAATTCTCAATAGTGTTCGTGCCAAATTTGGAATAAATCCATGCAGCACTTTTTGAATTTATCCCGGACATACATACAGACAAACAGACAAAAATTCTAAAAACTATATTTTTGGCTTCGGTATCGATTGAAGATCACACCACAAGTATTCTTTTAAAAGATATTCAATGTACAGTTTTGACTTTCCTACCATTTTATTATATGTTTAGATGAAGATGACAAATTGATGTCAAGTTAACAAATAATAATATTAATGTGATGAAATATGACATCAACACATGTTTTTAGTTTTTGATGTCATCTTTCAATTGACGATACTGTATGAAACAAAACAGGGAGAAAAAAATAGCCCTTGCTGAGTTTCTTGCCGGTTCTTCTCGGTACAAGGTCTCCCGCCGTAGATTTACGAACCGATGGCGTAGCGTTTGACTTTCACAAGAGCTTGTAACAGCCTAGACTGAATAAATGAGTTTAAGAGTTTGAAATAGCAAACACGAATAGCCAATCAAAGTGCCGACATGACATAAACTGTTTCTCTGCACAGCAAACAGCCAGGGCTCGTCGCTAAACTGTACGGTGGGATGCAGTGTTCCGGTTGTGGAACGCGATTCCCCCCCGAACACACAGTGCGTTATTCCCAACACTTGGATTGGCATTTCCGCCAAAACCGAAGGGACAGGGACTCCGCGAGAAGGGCACATTCGAGGCATTGGCATTACGACTTGTCCGATTGGCTGCAGTACGAAGAAGTCGAAGATTTGGAGGAGAGAGGTGAGATTTTTTATACCTAATCATTTCAAACGCATACTATCACTACACATACACATGATGATATATCCCGAATACTTGAAATGAATAAAACTGGTTTAAAGACAACTCCAACAGAAAAATTAAAATCTTTTGATTATCTTGCAACAGAAAAAAATTTAAAAGTTGATAAATAATCCTGTATTGGCATTGCAATCTTAAACTATAAAATGTCCTAAATGTATTATTTATTTAGAATTTATCTTCTTTATAAGAATAGTGTGTGTCAAAACTTTCCATCATGACTGTTTATAAAATATCTCACTAAGTACCTACAATTCATAAGTTTCCTGACCATTGTTTGGGGTGGAGGGTTGATAACCTGGGATACAGGATTTTTCCTAGTTCAGGTATCAGCCCACCACAATCTGCTACATTCTACCATTGCTTCATGTAAGTCTTATTTAGATTGTGGTATGAGAAAATAAAAATTTATTATTATTATTGTACACAAACATACACTCTCTTTCATCCTCATTTCATACACACACACACACACACACACACCCACAACGATACAAACACTTGCATCATAATTGATTTTTATATCTGGACAAAACTTTATACTGAAGAATTGTCAAATGTGCTGCTGTGCTATTCTGTAATAACAAACTTGATGACTTTGCCGAAATGCCGGTGTCATATGAAATGCGTGTTCTAATTAAAAATTTTAATGACAGCGCGGATTCCGAGGTGAAAATTGATTTTGTTCTTACAGAATAGCACTGCTGTTATTGAAGTGTAGCTATGAAATTGGCGTACCACCAAACCCTTGAAACATTCATCATTTTAAATTTATATTTCTAGTTAACATTTTAGAATGAGCCAATGCCAAAGTTCTTTCGTTAAAGTATGCTACACTTCAACTTCTACATAGTATGTAGATGGTGGCACTGTCAAACTCTTATAGCTAAAATGTATGTTAAATACACTAAATACTCACAAACGCATTTCCATCCATCATTGATTTGTATTTCTGGACAATATTTTAGACCCTAACAATGTGAAATGTAATTCGTTCATGTATGTCATTGTTTTTTTTTTGTAAAACACCATATACCCTAGCCCTATAGTAAGCACTGTAAGGCTTGTGTAACAGGATACTAGGTGCAAGTAGTTTTCAAGGTGTCGCCTAATTGAATCCCGATGGATAAATGTTTGCATGATTAATAGGGTATTTGACAAGTTTTAGAAAACGATCTCACGTGATTGCCTAATGTTAATGGAGTCCGTAAAAAGGATGGATGGATAGATGGATGGATGGATATTCATCATTCTATTGAGTATTTCAGTAAAAATAACCAAATGAAAAACTCCATTTTCAAGTTGCCGCGAAAACGTTTCTCTGGACAATATGGCGTCTTACTAGTGTGTGACGTCACACGACTGTTATTGAAACGTCAAACGGTACAATGTAATGTCACTTTAACCGGAAGTTTACTTGCGTGTAACGTTATTTTAGGCCCAAGCGTTTTGGGTCACGTGACAATAGATAGAAAAACTATTATCTTTTTCGTGGGTTTTTTTTGGTAAAATTATGAATATTTTTTTTGTAAAAATAGTAAAAACCCCTGCCAAGATTCATTCTAAACACAGATGCTAACATATGGCACTTTATTTTTAATACTGTCAAATACCCTATTCTGCTGTTTATATCTATCATATTTCTATCAGTTACCTAAGTACCCCGTAACATAAGCCTTAATTACAGTCCTTATCTCAGTGCTAGGCTAATGAGGTTTTTCCGAAATGACTGGTGCTAGGTGGCAGCACTGCGACGAAAGATCTACTTATCCATCAAATCGCTTGTCTTCATAGTCTATGGATCAATTCAAATGCTCATTCGACTAGTTCGCGCCAAAAATGTCATACAAAAGACTCATACTCACGTCACAGTGGCGCCAGCTAGTGACGTAAATTTTCTTAAACACCCTCATTGGTGTGTGTTAGAAATAATTATTTATTTCGTATATATGCGTACTAGCGGCCGTCCGCGACTTGGCCCGAGTTATCTTTAGTTTTTTGGAAAAACCTAACATTTTTCCGGGCTAAAGGTATATTATCTCTCAATCCAGGTTATAAATTACTAGCGGCCACCCGCGACTTCGTACGCGTGGTGTTATTTGTAAATAAAGGTTCACTGCTCGTTCCCCGTAGTTGATAGCGTGATAATATGTAGCCTATATGTTGACCCAACTTCTTAATAATATTCGTGCCAAATTTGAAGTAAATCCATGCAATACTTTATGAGTTTATCCCGGACATACATAGAGACACAGACAAAAAATCTAAAAACTATATTTTTGGCTTCGGTATCGATTGTTGCTCACACCCCAAGTATTCTTTTAAAAAAATATTCAATGTACAGTTTTGAATTTCCTACCATTTTATTAAATATGTATAGATATGCGTACCCAATTTCATAAAATTGCGTTTAGTAGTTTTGCGTGAAAGCGTAACAAAGACTTTCGTATTTATAATATTAGTTAGGATTATATTCACATACACTGCTAAAACTTAATGTCTTCATCCTGCCAATAGAGAAAAGTTGGTTCGAAACGGGCGGGGCTGAAGAAGGGGGTGCGATCGTATCCGCCGTGCTCCCCGGGGAAGGGGAGGAGGCTCCAAGTGTCGCGGCGGGCGCTCCAGCGGCCCATCATTGCACCCTATGCGGCGACGCCTTCCAACAGTTCTACAATGAAGACAAGGAGGAATGGCATTTACGCAACTCTGTACGGCACGAAGACAAGAACTACCATCCTTTGTGCTTCGACGACTATAAGGTTAGTTGTTCTTATAAAGTGTTTGATTCAGTTGTTTTGTTTAAAGTATTTACGCAACTGTACGGCAGGAAGACAAGAACCAAAGCAAAGAAACAGTTTAAATTCAACCTTTAAAGTCGACTCATAAAGTTATCCCATTTTTACATATATACCAAGAAAGGTATATACAGTGGTGGTCACATAATTAAAGACACCCCTTAATTAACCACGAAAAACTCACTTATGGTACTAACATTAGCTAAAATTGGTATTTAATGGAGTTTAACTGTTATTATACCATACACGACGTTGTATTCTTACAATGTGGGACAAAAAATAGTTGTGTTCGTTAGTAGTTTAGACACTGCTCACTATGGCAACGTAACAAAAACTTTTTTAACGTATTTATAGCTGGCCAGCTAATTAAAGACACTCGATTTGCTAAGAAGAAATAGAAAAAAATATTGTTATTATTGAAATTATCTTTATTACACAATATTCCTAACACATTTATAAAACTTTCTGGTACGTATCAATATTTGGTTGCATGTCCTTTGGCAGAAATGACAGCACGACTTCTCTTGGGCATGGAAGCGATAATTTTTTTACAAGCTTCACCGGAATTTGCTTCCAAGCTTCTCTAAAAGCTGTGTAAAGTTAATCGATGTTCGATGTCCGTTCGCCACTGTCTTCTTCACCTGGTACAAATTTTTTTTTATTGGGTTTAAATCAGGACTGTACGGGGGCCAATCCAAAACTGTCACAGACTGGTTCCTTAAAAAGTCTTTTATTACTTTTGCAGTGTGTTTCGGATCATTATCCTGTTGGTAAGTCCAAATGACCGGTAAATTTTGCTCGGCATAGGGCAGCATGGCTTGTTCTAAAATATTCTTGTACTGAAATTTATCCATGTTGCCTTCTTTTTCCTGACAGGTCCAACACCAAGCCCTGAGAAACAGCCCCAAACTTTGATATTTCCGCCCCCATGTTTAACTAATTTCTTGGTATATTTTGGATCCATTTCTTTGTTCGGGGAGCGTCTAACATATTGTTTTCAGTCAGAGTTAATCATATTAATTTTTGTTCCATCAGAGAAAAGCACATGTTTCCACTCTCGTTCAGTCCAGTGTACATATTTTTTAGCAAATGCTAATCTTGCCTTAACATTTTGCATTTTCAAAAGTGGCACCTTCTGAGACTGTTCCGTACAAGTTTGCCTCACATAGTCTCCGGCTAATTGTTCTTGCAGACACACCCTTCGACCTTCCTACACCAAACAACTCTGAACGTATCAGTTCTGATTCCTTGAATGGATCTTTTTTGCCAACAACACGATCTTAGAGTCTTCCCGCAGAGTAGTTTTTCTTGATCTCGGTTTTCTTGGTACGTTTTCGGTCGTGTTGAACTTCTTGAAATGTTGTATAGCATTCATACCATTTCCTTAGAACAGTTCAAGTGGTTTGCTATTTTTCTCTATCTTTATTATGAAAGTTGAAAATAATCTTCCTATAGTCCGGCCGCTCAGAGATTGCGTTTCTGACAGGTCGTGTCAGTTCCTTATGTTGATAGCGTTAGAGTTAATTTTCGAACCTCTTGTTTTATTAGATCTAAGGTGTACTTTATTCTGTCGCCATAAGGAACTGACACGACCTGTCAGAAACGCAATCTCTGAGCGGCCGGTCTATAGTGGACGAATCGCAACTCTTGTTTTTCCCATTTTGCTGGGTTTAAAACGTATTAATTTTAATTAAAAAAAATAGTTTTTATATGTAATATCGACGTTTCATAAAAATACGCGGCAAAAGAAAGAAAAACAGAATGCGGTTTTTCTTTATTTTTTTAAATTCAGAACACAGCTTTTACTGTCTTTAATTAGCTGGCCAGCTACAAGTACGTTAAAAAAGTTTAAGTATACTGAGCAGTGTCTAAACTACTAACGCACACAACTATTTTATATCCCACATTGTAAGAATACAACGTCGTGTATAGTTTAATATCAATTACACTAGATTAAATACCAATTTTAGCTAATTTTAGTCCCATAAGTAAGTTTTTTGCGCTCAATTGCGGAGTGTCTTTAATTATGTGACCACCAAAAAACCACCGTAAAAATATTGTTCAAAATAACAAATATGTTCTGTGGAACCATACTATGAACAGCGTGCGTACCGCTATACAAAACCTCAAATTGGATACCTTGGTTACCTTTAGATTACCGTATCAAAAAGCGATCATTTGTCAAATGTAACTTGTCAAGACGCCACTATTACTATTTGGTTGGGTAATACTTTGTTTAGAATTCTTTTTGATAATCTATTGTCTGTGAGTGTGTCCGTGTGTAAATGAAAAGGGTCCAACCCACCCAAACTTAGTTTTGAGATATGATTTTTTTTAATTTCAGACTGTATTCCTTCTCAGATTCTTAACTTTATCTTTTTATAAAATACAAATACAAAATCATTTGACACTTGAATTTTACTTTTATCTTTGTCGTGATTTGATAGTGTTGACCTTAAGGAGTACTTTGGTTATACTTAACTAATTTTCGATAAGGTTGTGGGTTGGATCCTTTTCATTTAACAACGTCCAATTGTTCTTGTTCTGAGATGCTTAGGTAACAGTTCAGTGACGTCGCGCGTGCATTTATTTTTCGCCACATTTCGTTTACGGCGCATTTTAAATTTGAATGATTCAAACTTAATTTGTTATTATTCCACTTTAATGGTTTCGTTTCGCTTGTCCAGTTGTCGTTGACAAAGAACGAGACGCCACCGGAAGAGACGACCGATGACGTGCTCTCTGTTGACAAGGTTGAAGAAGCCATAGAGATTAAGGATGTGGACGACGATACCAATTCACAGTCGGACAACGAATCCGTCGTGGAGGTTGTGGAACCCGTACCTGAAGAACTGGAGCCAGTGGAGGTGATTATTACATATTTTTAAATAAAACAATTTTTATTAAACGTATTTTTACTGTGGCCTGGTTTTTGATGTATTACATATATTCTCGACGTTTCCTCCAGTATTTCCTATTTAAAAGGCTGACGATTTGCACTCGACCAGAAGTAATGGCCGTTTGTTGTTTTATTTTTGCTGCCTCAGAAATTTTACCATATACCATATAAAGGGCTCAGGTATGGTGGGAATAATCCACTGCACCTTGTGAAGTAAATCATCGTACCAGCGTCATCTATATGGGGTCAAGGTTGACCCCGTTTAGTTATTGTGCCGCTTCTTCTAAAACTACCGTAAACTATCACTAGTTCCAAGCAGTCTCTGCTTTTCATTCTTTATTACTATAAATAAGAATATACTGCAACAAATAAACCTATGAATTGCATAAAGTTGGATTATTCTTCCAAAGATCGACGAAGGTGACGAAGACGACGTAATCTATAAAGCGGAGCCCGTCGAAGAGGTGTTAGTTGAAGACGACGCGGACACAGACGACGAGACGGCAGCCACTAGGGCCGAACGAGACCGTCTCGCGCAGATCGACTTCTCTAAAGTGAAGGTGAAGCAGGAACCCGTCGATCCCGGTGAGTTAAATATAGTGGCCAATGTATACTCTATTCAACTTCCTCAGAGACAAAAGGTCTAGTGACAAACTTAGAAGACGAGGAGACGGGCGGAGATTGACTTCTTCAAAGTGAAGGTGAAACAGGAACCTGTCGATCCCGGTGAGTTACATATAGTGACCAACGTATACTCTATTCAACTTACTCAGAGACAAAAGGTCTAGTGACAAACTAAGAAGACGACGAGACAGGCAGATATTGAATTCTTCAAAATGAAGGTGAAGCAGCAACCCGTCGATCCCGGTGAGTTACATATATTGAATATACTCTATTCAACTTCCTCAGAAACAAAAGGTCTAGTGACAAACTTAGAAGACGACGAGACGGGCGGAGATTGACTTCTTCATAGTGAAGGTGAAGCAGGAACCCGTCGATCCCGATGAGTTACAAATAGTGAATATACTCTATTCAACTTCCTCAGAAACAAAAGGTCTAGTGCGGAGATTGACTTTTTCAAAGTGAAGGTGAAGCAGCAACCCGTCGATCCCAGTGAGTTATATATTCAACTTCCTCGAAGACAAAAGGTCTAGGGACTAAAATTTATTGTTTACCCTTCTTTACCCTTCAAATAATAATTTAATTTCCTCATCAGACGACGAGCCAGTGATCACCGCTGAGGAAGCTTCTCCACCGCCTACTGTAGACACTACTGTTACCACAGTCCAATCTTCCCTCGACGGGAATACTCAACTGGAAGTGCCAACAGTTCGAGTCCAACCCACAGCGATACGGATCAATATCTCAAAAACTGTCCCTACTTTACCTGAACCCACCATGGAAGATGAAACTGACGAGCCACCACCCCCCGGTGAAGAACCGGAACTAGAGTATACGCTCAAACCGTCCCTCGAAGGAATACGTCTGAGTAGACAACCACCCATACAGAAAGGCTCTGAGCTATCTGGACTGTGCTCAATCATGTAATAGTGAAAATAGTGCTTGAAACAAAAAGGTCACGTTAATAAAGTGTTCAATACTACAACAACCAGTGTGAAAACAGTGTGAAAACCTTGTGAAAACTGTGTCATTATGTGGAAAAGGACATATGAAACAAATGATATAGTGAAGTGTTATCTGAATCTTGCACAAGACAAAGTGTTAATTTTATGACGTTCCTTCCATGTGCTGTTGCGTAACTGTAAATAGTTAATTTTTTCCTGGTATTGCACAATATTGCAATTTGACTGGGCAATGTTTTCCTTACTGAGTAAATATGTAAAACATTCTGAGTTTACATACTCATGTATGGTCTTTCTTTTATGCCTGTAGAATATTAATTGAATGAGTCTTAAACGAAGCATAAAGAAATTTAGTTACTTTATTGTGTATATTTCAGTAATTGTAGATTTTGTTTGCATTCTGCATTGCAGGTATATATGATTATATTTTCTTCATATTAAGGTATATTCTTTAAAAAGATGTTGCAAAAATGAATATAAAAATATTTATAAGGAAATTTAAAAAAAATGTATCAGAAATAATTTAGTTTTGAACTACTTGCCAAGAATTGGTTGCTGATTACTGTTGGTCCTGTCTATTAGGTCTATTTAGGGTACTATCTGAAAATCTTGATCAATGAACATGGTTCTATGTATACCTGATTATGAGGATAGAGTAAAATAATACTACTTATACATAATACACCTAATAAAATGTGATACTAAGTTAATGACGTATTATTACATTGAAATAAAGTTTTTAAATTGGTTCATTTATTGTTTATGATTGATCGGAGAGTTACTGTACATATTATGACTTACATTGTAAATATTATAATAAAGTATTTCCATTGCTTTTGTATAAGGTACAAATTATAATAAACATGTGTTTTGAAAATAAATTTGCTTATAGGGTTCACAGTTGAATCTCAATTGTTGCAGTAAGGTTTGTATAGATGGCTGACTTCTGTGCATTGTTGTCTGCAATGATGCATTCTAAATATCGTACTGGAACTGGAAGTTCCATAACTCTATGGTCAGAAAAGTTATGCACACTTCTGTCTGCTGTCTATTCAACTTATTTAAATCTATCAAAAGAGTCTAGCAGTTAGCTTTTTTGAACTTTTGACAGATTTTTAATATTTAAGCAATTATGTTCTTTTGTTAATAATAACTAATATCATTTATTAGTGACTGAAGTTGAAAAAAAAACTGAATAAAATATACATTTCATAACAATTATGTAAAATATAAACTGGTAAAACTTGCAGATTGTGATTGCGAATGATGCATTGCTTAGACTTTTTTGATGTTGAACATAAAATGTGTTTAATTAAATTTTTGATTGTATATTGTATATAATCGCTTAGGATAATTTATTTAAGTTGTAACCAAATGTTGGTGGTGATGTGATTTGTTCTCATTTAGTCAATTTCTATAAATATTGTTTTTTTCAATCACAAGGAGCCAATAATTGGTAATGTTGAAATAAATCACAATAAAACTAAGACAATGTTTTTTTTGCTTTATGCTCAATGTGAAACCCTTATAAACCTATTGAAGTAGAGATAATAAATAGGTTTTATTTCCAAAATTATGCTTTTCATTTACTTTCCTTTATAGATTAGAGATAAGTTATAGAAAAATAAATGTATACTTAAAATTGCAACAATTTTATATAGTTACAGTCAGATGCTAAAAACCATAATTGATATAATGTTTTCTAAAACGTAATGCTTACCAATCGTATTCTATTTCCAAGTTTCCTTTTAGTTCAGCAGGATATTATAGAGTTTGCAGTATTTTCATAGGTTTCCATTCGTTGATAAAACCAGTAGTATGTAGGTATTGCATTTTTATTCTTCCAAGACAATTTAGTCAATTTTTAATTTTCCTTTCTTTGTTTGTCTAGAACTTTTATACCCAGGTGATAAAGTTCAGATCACTGTATGCCTTTTGAGTCAGGTAATTCATTGGATAAATATTTTTATAATAGGGGTGATGACGGGGTACAGTAAACGAAATTCTATTTAGTCCGTCAGTTAGATGATCAAAAAATAATGGACACGTATTTTTTCTTTGGGCAATCAACCAAAAAATTGCAAAGTTATAGCGCGTCAAAGTTTGGGAGTAGAGGCTCGGGACGTCACTTTGAGTGAATTTTCACTTATAAGTGTACTCAAACGTGACGTCATGCGACTTTTCAAATCAATATATCTCTGCAATGTTTATATTATGTGAAAAAAGAAAAAATACGTGTCCAATACTTTTTGATAATCAAACTTATAAACGAAGAAAAAAAAAATAGTCATCCCTATTTTCATTGTCTTCTGTTTTACAACATTTATTTTGATAGGTATTAAAAAGTACCAAGAGGTACAAAGTACCATATGAGGCGGTTTCGTTTTGATTCTTCTTTAAAATATTTCCCAGAGACTTATGTGGTTGTTATACATAATATGTACTGAAGGGTGTATGTAGTCTGAGTACATCTGATTTGTTTAGATAGATAGATAGATAAACACTTTATTACTCACACATACACAATAATAAGGGTTTACAAAAAAACAGATAGTCAAATATGGTGGGTCAAGGCGGTCTTATCGCTGAAAGCGATCTCTTCCAGACAACCTTTAAGTCGAAGGATAGTATAACAGAGATAGAAGAGTAATGTGCCAGCAAAATATAAAATAAAATAAGATATAAATAACAATACATATATTATGTAAAATACACACAAAACATAATACCTACATACATTTATACATCTTCATATATATAATTCTTCTGTGAGTGTGTATGTCACTGAACTTCTCTTAAACGACTGGACCGATTTTGATGAAATTTTTTGTGTGTGTTCAAGGGGATCTGAGAATGGTTTAGATTCACAATTTTGTCCGCTGGACAACCCCTATTTTTTTAGGGCGGTACGAAGTTCGCTGGGTCAGCTAGTATTTATATAAATATAAATAAGTATATACTATGCATATAGGTAGTGTTATAAATATAACATAATATTAATAGAATAATATATACATATACACTACACATATATAAGTTATATGTTGCAAACTAGGACCTTGATAAAAGATGGTCATGAAGCTTGTTCTTGAAAATTGCAAGTGATGCCGAGTGACGGACTTCTGATGGAAGGTTATTCCACAAGATTGCAGCCTTGACAGTGAATGAATCCCCAAAGTATCCAGATCGAGTAAATGGAGTCCTAAGTAAATTGTCTGTCCTGGACCTAAGGTTGAGCATGTGATCGGTACTTAGAAATCGGAAACGTTCCTTAAGGTAGGGAGGAGAGCGAGGATCATACAGAACGTTGTATAGAAGAGTGAGAACATGCTCTTCACGTCGTAGTCGGATGGGTAGCCACTTCAATTTATTTCTGTATTCCGACACATGATCAAACTTGCGCAATCCATAAATAAATCTAATGCAAAGGTTCTGAAGACGCTCGAGTTTGTTTAACAGATCCTCATTAAGGTCAATAGTGCAGATATCAGCGTAATCCACAATAGGCAAAAGAAGTGACTGCGCAAGTTGGATCTTGGTCCCCACAGGCAGCAAGTTCCTCCATCTCCGCAGTGAACCGGCAGCAGCGAACATCTTTCTGCTGACTTCAGCAATATGAGGTGACCACGACAAGATAGCATTAAAAATTACATCCAAGTTTTTGACATCAGCACAAAGGGTCAAAGGGGTACAGGAAAATAGAAGAGGAGGAATAACACTAGAATTGAGCCTGGCTATCTGCTTCGATCCGCCAAGGATGATCGCCTGAGACTTCTGAGGATTCACTGTCAAGCCATGGGCACTACTCCATACGTGAATGGTCTCAAGGTCAGCGTTTAGCTTGGCAATCATTCCGTCTAAGTTTTCAATAGAGGCTTGTGAATAAATCTGCAGGTCGTCAGCATATAAATGATAATGACAAGAGAGAAGAGGGGCCAAAAAATTAATAAAGAAGGAGAAAAGAAATGGGGAGAGGACTCCGCCCTGGGGTACACCGGCTGTGAGTTGACAGCAGGCAGACAGTTTTGTCATCAACTCGGACACATTGGGATCGTCCGATTAAATAACTCTTAAACTCGACAACGTTATCGGATACAAACGCAGATTTTAACATTGCCAGAAGGATATCGAAATCAACAGAATTAAATGCGTTACTGAAATCTAATAAAACTAAGGTTGTAAGCTGTTGATTAGACATTCCCTCTCGCACATCATCTGACATCTTAGTTAAGGCAGTATCAGTGCTGTGTCCCGGACGAAAGCCAGACTGGAAAGGACAAAGGATATTGTTAAAGTTAGCAAATACGCTAACCTGGTGGAATACAAGACTTTTGACAGGAAAGGAAGAATAGAAATAGGTCTGAAATGAGAAGGTTGGGTAGGATTTGAAGATTTAGGAATAGGGATGACAACAGCCTTGCGCCAGCAGCTCGGAAAAATCCCTGTGGTGAGTTAAATATATGGCAGAGAATGGAAACGCAAGAGGGCATGCAAAGGAGAATCATACGTAGGCTTATACCATCTAAGCCCTCAGCGTTAGATTTAACAGCACGTATTTTCTTTTCAATCTCACTTTCAGACACAGGCCTAAAAGAAAAGGGAGGATATGTCAATTTAGGAATACGTGAGAGGGACTGGAGTTTAACGTTATAAGGGATAGGAGAATTGAGAGTGAAGTGCCGGGTCAGGGAGTCAGGATCCAGATTGAGAGGTAAACTCGATCTAGACTTGCCAATGCCGAGCGAGCCCAGGAACAACCATACTTTCGCTGGGTTACCTTTAGCAACAGAGTCATGTATATGGCGACGCTGTGCGTCTTTGCACATTCGACTACAGCAATTCCGTAGCTCTCTGTACCGTGAACGGGTAACATCAGATGGATCATTTCTGAACTTCACTTTGGCAACATTACGTCTGATCATTAAGTAGTATGGAAGAGGATCACTTAACAATGGTCAATTTTACTGATCGATAGTTAGATAGTCTTCTTTATCAGAACAGAAGAACAAATTAAATGCAAACATAAAAAAAAATAGAAAAATAACAATAAATCATTGAAGATACATAAAAAAATGCAAACATCACACCCATAGACGTATACGTCCATGATCACACCAGGGCTGCGCTCAATACCCAACGCACGAAGTGCAACTTTTCTACCCTGACGTTTCAGTTATGACATAGAGTATGTAGCACCGGTGCCGAATCCGTCGCCCCCCAAAACCCAAACCCAAATCTGACAACAGTTAATTTGTCATTATCCATACAGTATAAAAGTAGAGACTGATGCCAAATTCAGCCTCAAGCCAAGAGAATCACACCAGAATCGATACCAATGTCAAACTTTGACATGCACCCAGAGCCGAGGTTCCGAACGCAACCCAACATTATTTCCGAACGCAACTGGAAAACATCACTGTCAAAAAGAATTACTAGGTACTAGGTATGACAAGTCATCAATCACAACCACAACTTTAAATGGTATATAATTATTTTCCGGTTTTAAAACTATTATTGTATTCCAAGAAAAACATTAATAGATGTTACTTAATATTACCCACCGTCAACAAAAGCGTATATAAATACAGTAAAACGGCAAATAAATACGGTTACCTCCAAAACATATTTTAATGCAGCAAGTGGGTAAAATTATCATTAAAAAGCGAGGATTGCTAACTAGCTTTATGGTGTTAATCGGAGATGTTGCCGGTGTTACAGGATGTGGTAGTGGCGTTACTGGTGGTGGTATTAGAGGTGGTACTTGCGCTTGCTATAGTGGTGCGTAGATCTGCTAGAGATTCCACCTTGTGTCATCTGCCACCCTCCGTCGTGATATGAATAGTCCCGTCCTGGGTCCAGCAATTGGAAATACCAAATTTATCCCTTGTAGCCATAAAAACTTCATGACGAGACTTGGTCAAAAATTCGGAAAGTGTGATTTTAGATCCCTTCAGAGCAGCTTTATTTTTCTATAGTTTAGTGCGCACAGAAAAATCATTAAATTTCACAACAATGGGCCGAGGCTTGCTATTGCCCTGCTTACCCATGCGATAGCTGGATGCAATGTTGTCCACATTTAAACTCTGGATCTTACATTTTGTTGCCAAAGTGGAGACTACAGTAGCACAAGTATCTTCATCTTTCTTCTCAGGGATGCCATGCACCAATAACATTTTGCATCTGAAGCGCATTTCAATCCGGTCCATGTGATTACAGAGTGAATCTATTTCGGCACGAAGCACACCAAGACCGTTGCAAACAAATGCTTTGAAATTCACAAATTCAGTGTTGAGTGCAGCAATTGTGTTAGGATTCTTAGGTGATGCAGTAGCTTGTTTCAGTTCAGCCTGGAACTCTGCCATCCTGGTCTCGAATATTTTAGCCATTTCATTTAAGTTTGATGCCAACTGTGATTGATCCATGATGTGATGTTGTTTTGAGGTAAAGAAGTGAAGTTAAAGGAAATTAAATATTGCAGGCGAGTAGCACTACATGTAATTAGGATTGTGACATATAACACTGGTCAACAAATTTCAAACTTTTTTTTGTCACACGTAAACTTATATCAAATTTTGAATGTACTATGGCCACCAAACAATAATATATCAACAGAGAAAAATTGACACATCAAGTTTCTTTGTGACATCAAGATTTATATTTTAATGCAAAGTACAAAAATCAG